CAAATGTAAAAGGTAAACAGTTCAGTTTGTAGCAAGAGCTCATGCTGTCATTCCCCTGCTCATGGGGAGGAGGTATCACTTTAGGGAAATAAGTCACTACCTTCACCCACCTCTATACATAGATACTCTAACGACAGGGAGAGGCAAGTAAAAGGCCTCAGCATTCCACAGCTCTGTTAGAAAGCGAACTTTATTTGGAAAAGAGTGCGGGAGGACTCACACCTTGAGAAGTTACAAAGAAAGAAAGAACTGTTTGGATTTGTTTTCTGTTGCTATAATGTAACTGGGTATTTTAGGGTTATTTAACTCTCAGTATCCAAAGTTGAAAAGAGTGTATTGCTGCTCTCTAACTAGCTTCTGGCATGCAACTCATGTTCTCTTACAACGAAGCCGAGAAAGAGGAGTACTTAACCATCTCAGTAACTAAGCCAGTATTGCTAGACCTAACTTATTCCAAGAGACTTAATACATTTTAAAGATGTATTTCATTTTGAAAGTGTGTGTGTCTGTGTGTGTGTCTGTGTACACTAGTGTGCTGGTAACCCCTAGAAGCCACAAAAGGACATCTGATACACTGAAGCTAGAATTATAGACAGTTGTGGGCTACCCAAGTTTGGTTCTAAGAACCCAAACTCAGGTCCTCTGCAGGAACAGAAAACATTCCTAACTGATGAACTGTCTTACAAGCCTCTTCATCTAGTCTCCTGAAAAAGACATTAAGCCATCCGTGAGCACTAGACCCAACCATCAAAGGCATTGCTAGCTTTCAATACTTGTTATGCTGGGGACCGAGAATCTAGCATGTGAATCTCTTCCGAGGCAGGCCACACCCAAACCACATCCCATATCTTGGTGATAAGCAATTAAGAGAGGACTGGAAAGACTGGAAGCATAGCAGCAGCAAGCTCAACACAGAAAACCAGGCAAAGATACAATTAATTGTCCATCATGAGATTAGAATCTCTAGAAATGTAATACTGTGGACCAGACTAACCTGACTTCTGTCAAGACCAACCAGAGCAAGCATTTAAGAGCAGCAAACAAACAAACAAATAAAAGGACACAGAGAGATGGGATTGGGGGCCAACTACTTGGATCGATGGCCTGAATAAACAGACCAAGAAAACACTGAGATAAAGATCTTCCACCACCCCCAAAGAGCCCAGAGGACTAAAAGAAAAAAACATCGACGTGAGCAATCAGATTGCCAAAAGGAAATGGCAATTTCACAAAGAATTTGGAAAGTTCCGAGGATCGGATTCTGCTCGCCAGAAAAAAATAATAAAAATAAACAGAATGTCTAGATAAAACTTGTTAGCACTGTCAACATGTTCCAAATGAAATATGCAGTCTGGGACTGATCTGACTGGCCTCCAATTCCATCCAGCTGTGACATCTCTGTGCCCTGGAGGAAAACTAAGTGACCTTTTGAACTGCAACAGCCAGAGAAAGAAAACAACTGCAATGAAGAAAAAAGCAAGAAAGCTGTGTCCTGCAGAAAAATCTTTGGAGATTGCTTCAAAGGCCTTCCCATTTCCCTTTTGCATGTCAGCTGGTGTCATGAAACAGCATGCAGGTGGGGACAGGAAAGCCGGCACAAAAAGCCTCAGGGTTTAGACTACTCTACTACTTGGTGCAGGGAGAACATGGTAATGTCACCCAGCCTTCCTTCCATGTGAGTTCAAGTAACAAAACATACCCTAAAGTTCCTGTTGTTTGCTTTACGCCATCCCACAGTTGAAAGCAAAGGGCCAGAAAGAACTCAGTGATGTTTGCCATGTTAAGGCTGTCTAGGCAAAATTATAAAGACAAGAGAAACTACGTGTTGTGTTCTGTGAGCACAATATCACAAATGTGAAAATGTGTGGCCTAGACATTATAGTGTATGTTCAGCTTCTAGACTTGAAGTTGTATCGTTATTTTTCTCCACGATACACAATAATTTTATGACCAGGTATTTTTAATAGAATCATTGTGCTAATCTTTGAGAGTTTCATGCATGCATGCAGTGTGTTTTGATCACGCTCACCCCTGCCCTTCCCTTAACGCCTTGTGGATTCACTCCCCATCTCCACACCCACTCCTTACTTCATATTTTGTTTTTTTTTTAACACCTCACTGAGTCCAGCTTATGCTGCTCATATATGGATGGTGTGAGGTCTTCCACCGGAGCATGGTTGACCTACCAAGGACCACACCCCTGAAGAAAACTGACCCGCTTGGCAGGCACCAACTGTCCTATAGGTGTGAGGATTGCGAATCCCTCTCTCCCGGGAGGTTAAACGGCTTGATCTCATGCAGGTCTTGCACAGGCAACCTCAGCTGCTGTGAGATCACGGGTGCATCAGTCCTGTCCCATCTTCCTCAACCTCAGGCTCTTCCAACCTTCCCAACCCCTCTTCCACAATACTGCCCCAGACCGGGGGAGCTGTGTGACATAGATGCCCATCTGTGGCAGAGAGGCCATCCATGCTCTCTGCACTCCCATCAGCTGTGAGTTTCACTAACTGTCAGCCACAGCAGTTGCTCCTCTGAGGAGCTCTGAGAGTTGCACTAACTGAGCAGTAAATATGTATGTCTTTAGAGGGCAGTATGATACTATGTCCATTTAGCAATAAAACAACAGAAATTGGCTTACTTCTGGAGCCTATGAGCTCTTAGCCATAAGATTTTGGCCAGACTTGTAGTAGCAGGCATGTTTTCCTTCCTGTGGAGTGGGCCTTAGATACAATGAGAAAATGGTTGGTTACTCCCATGGCATTCACGCCACCACTGCACCTACCAGGGGGGTGTCCTACCAGGCTGGTCATTATTGTGGCTTGCAGAATTCACAGACAGAACTGGTAATGACTTTTCTCTCCTAGTAACACACATAGAATGAAAGCCATCAGGGGAAAGCATCCCAGTCAGCACCAACTTGATTTTCCATGCCTGTGGTGTTTTCAGTAGTTAGCATCTTACCAACAAGTTCCTGGTGAACAACCAAGAGCCATCTCAACAGCTTATATTGTTTGTGGGGTCTCCAGGACACCCATGACCAACAATTCAAGGGCAAGTTATCTTCAGACCTGGCACTGGACTTTTTATTTGGCAACCTATGGTTTTTGGGAGGAGACACACACACACACACACACACACACACACACACACACACACACACACACACACACACACTTAGGAAGCTAATAAAATAGTAGATTTCCATAGTTTTTAATATCCTTAGTGGTAATTATCCCTGCCCCGTCCCCCATCCTGCCCTATCTTCCCATCCCCCTCTGCATTTAAGCCCCCCTCCTCATTAATCCCCCTCTCCTCTTCACCCATGCTCTACTATCTCTTCTCCTTTAAAACATTTTCTTCCCTCTCCCCCTAGTGGCTTCTTTCAATTTTCCTGGTGTATTAGGATTTCTATTGCCTTATGAAACACCATGACCTGAAGCACTATACTACTCAGTCTTATTAATGAAAACCCGGAGTCAGACTTTAGGGTAAGAGCTGAAAGATCAGAGAAACAGAGCAGCAGCCACTAGGGACTTCTTACCTCTACAAAATCTCAGACTGATTTATTTTCCTGTCTCCACCTTCCTAGTTCTGGGATTAAAGGCGTGCACCACCACTACTGTTTCTCTTTTACACTTGTTCAATCTCATGTAGCACAGGGCAGCTTGAACTCCTGATCTTCCTGTTTCCTTCTCCCTAGTGCTGGGATTAAAGGTGTATGCCACCAGCACCTGGCCTCTATGGTTAACTAGAGGCTAGCTCCGTCCTTTGATCGCCAAACAAGCTTTATTTGTCAGAACATAAACAAAATATCACACAACAATGACCAAAAGCAACTTGGGGAGGAAAGGGTTATTTCATCTTATTACTTTCATATCATACCCCATCAGGGAGATCCGGGCAGGAACCTGGAGGCAGGAGCTGATGCAGAGGCCATGGAGGAGTGCTGCTTACTGGCTTGCTCTCTCACGGCTTGCTCAGTCTGCTGTCTTAGACAACCCAGGACCACCAGCCCACAGTGAACAGGACCCACCCACCTCAGTTACTTGACTACAGGCTAATCTTTTGGAAGCATTTTTTTCAGGTAACATTCTCTTTCCCCATTCATATTAGGTTTGTGTCTAGTTGGCAAAAAACAACCAGCACACCGACTCTACAAGTACTCCAAGTTAAAGGTGCAAATCTAAACATTTGATGCCAGGATCCACACGTTAGTGAGAACACAATGAGTTTGTTTTTCTGTCTCCAGGCATTTTATCTCCATTTATTTACCCATCTTTTCAGATTATATCTGCTGGGGTCTGTGGTACTGACAGAAGGAAAAAACAAAGTGCCACTTCCTGCCATCTTGGGCCTTGAGGGAGCTGGGATTGTGGAGAGTGTCGGACAAGGAGTAACTACCATAAAGCCAGGTAGGTAACTAGGCATGATATTGATGCCATCTAGAGGTGCAGGAATAGGTTTGGTTTCTCTGCCACTTAAGAAATTAAGAGGCAAGGCTGAAGAGATGGCTCAGAAGTTAAGAGCACTAGTTGCTCTTCCAGAGGTCCTGAGTTCAAGTCCCAACAACCACATGGTGGCTCACAACCATCAGTAATGAGATTTTGTGTCCTCTTCTGGCCTGCAGGCATATATACAGGTGGAACACTGAATACATAATAAATGAATGAATCTTAAGAAGGAAGGAAGGAAGGAAGGAAGGAAGGAAGGAAGGAAGGAATAAAGATAGGAAGGGATTAAGAAGCAGGGGAGAGGTGTTTCCAGAAATCATGCAGAGTCCCAGCAGAGCCATCATGTGATAACTGGGAAATCAAGGTCCCCTCTTGAGGTTCTTAAGTTTACTAATGAAAGAGTTTAAGAACAATCACAAACAAGCTTGAGGACAAAGAATGGACTCAAACAGAAGCATAAAGACAGTTTATTGGGGCTTACAAGGGAAACCCCAGGCCAGGCAAGCTGGAAAGGAGAGGGGGAGTAGAGAAGGAACAAAAGTCATGCTGCTTGAACTGAGGCAGCATGGGGGTCAGCCCCCTGGCCACAGACAGACACAAGTCAAGGAGAGGAGCTTTAGAAAAAATAGTAGGGAATCCCAAAGCATAATTAATTATGGGGTATGAGAGCATCTTAGGCTACAGTCAGCACCTGAGAGAAAAAGAAATAGCCATGCCTTTCCTCAAGTTCCGGCATAATGCAACACCTTATAATGAGTACTGGTTCTGATTTGGCTCGTGTGTGATTCATTCTTCCAATCAGTATCAATGAGGGCAGATTATGCTTTTCTCCTGCAACACTGAGCCAAACAGACAAGCCTTAGACACCACAGACACTGATGTCACACTTAGATGTAGCTATCTCTCATCTTTGAACCTCAAGGTCATGAGTTGCAAATACCTGGATTCTTTTTTTTTTTTTATCTTGCAGGTCTATTTATACTAAAATTGATTTTTTTAACCCCATAGTGGAATGATAACTAACTTCAAATACCATGCTACAACTCTTCCGTAATTGATGACATCTGCTATAAAAAGTTCCCTGTGGTATTTACTGTATTTCAGGTCTCTCATGAGTCGGACATAACTTTCTTTATTCTTTTCCCTCAGGAGATAAAGTCTTAATGTTTCCCCTTCCAGAATGTAGAGAATGCATCTATTGCCTCCACCCTAAGGGCAACTTCTGTAAGAAAGAGGAGTTAGTTTCAATTTTGACTTCTCACCTCATTTGCTTTCCTCAGTATAGAGGTTGACTCAATCCTGATAATGTCTTCTCATTTCTCTTCTTCCTTGCTCTGTCTGGGGAGTAGTATTCTCTCTTCAACTGGATTAATGTTGGATGGAACCAGCAGATTTACCTGCAGAGGGAAGAAAATCTATCATCTTTATGGGACCAGCACATTCACGGAATATACTGTGGTAGATGAAATTGCTGTAGCAAAGATTGATGATGCCACTCCTATGGATAAAGTCTGTGTCACAAGTTGTGAAGTGCTGACAGGCTTTGGAGCTGTGTTTAATACAGCACAGGTAAAGAACACATTTCATCAGTGAATGTCTACATGGTAAACAGGGAGCCACACAGCTGGAAGGCTCCTTCCATTATGGGCAAAAGCAAAGGAGCTTCCTACCTCCTCTCTATTACCTACTAACACAAGATCACCTCTGAAACTGCAGGTAACCCCTGGCTCCACCTGTGTGTTTTTTGGACTTGGAGGGATCAGCTCTGCCATTGTCATGGGCTGCAAAGCTTCTGGTGCTTCCAGAATCATCAGAGTTGACATCAATGAGCAGAAGTTTCCCCGGGCAAGAGCCTTGGGCATCACTGATTGTCTTAACCCTAACAGGCTCAAGAAATCTGTCGATGAGGTGGTGATGAAAATGACCGGTATTGGTGTTGACTTTGCCTTTGAGGCCATTGGCCTTATTGAAACCATGGTATGTGTCTTGAGCACAATTTGGGACCACATTAACTTCCTAAAGTCAAGAATTTACTGCCATTTGTTTTATTTGCAAATTAAACAAAGGGACTCCAGCATACTGAGCATGATTCTATACCTCTGGTCTGGATGAGGAGCTATAAAATTTTACCTAGCCTTATTAAGCACATTGATAGGCCTGGCACTGTTCTGAGCTATTAGTCTATTCTATCCCATTTAGTTCGTAGATCATCCTTCCTAGCGATTAAACACTATTTTCATCTCAAAGATGACTGAAAATATTAATCTTACTGAATTTAAACAGCTTACTCAAGGTATCATAGTAAACATACCCCATGCAGTTTGATCATTGTATGTCTCCCACATCCTCCCTGAGAGACCACATTAGCATTCTTATCAAACTTGGAGAACACAAGCTGTGCTGCAAGGCCTGGCCACCCTCCCTCTATAAGCCAATTTAAACAGTCAAATTAAAAATAGAAAGCAAAAGGAGAATTAGTCAATGTGACCACATTGGGAAGAGGGACAGATGATCCAGCGAAGCCCTCAAGTCCATCTTCCAGGTCCTGAAATGACAGCCCTGAAGTTTAAACAGATGCACGCATCTGAACAGTCTAGTCAAGGTTTGTTCCCACCTGCCCCTCTGGTCAGTCCTTGTCTGGGCTTCAGTCTCAGTCTAATAGCTGGCAAGCTGTTAGTACCATGAGATCTTTCTCCAGGACACACGTCCCCACACTGGCTGGTGCCTTTTTCTCTGGTAGCATGAGGGTCATGGAAAATACCCATTTCCTTGAGGTTATTTGTTCCAATAGTCTACTGGTCAGATTGAGAGTCACAGAAGATCTTTGTTTCTACCAGGCCAGTTACAAGTTACATGTAGAGCTGCTGAGAATTAACCATTCTGTTTCTGCATTTAGGTGGAAGCTTTGAAGTCATGGAATGTGAGCTACGGAGTGTATGTGATCATGGGAGAAGCTCCCTCAGGGTCACAGTTCTCTTTTGACCCAATGGTGCTTCTCCCTGGGAGAACCCTGAAATCCTCTGTTATGGGAGGTAGGCCTTTCAGTTTCCTTTCTCTTTCCAGAGTGCCCTGCACGCTCCTTGGAGGGAAGCAGGGAGGGAAGATGGGAAGAACTAGAAGACACTGTATGGAAAAATGGAAAGGTGGGCTGCACTCTCAGCACTCGGGATGCAGATACAGGAAAAGAGCCACAAGGTCAAGGCCAACCTGGACTCAAGTGAGTTCCAGGCAGTCAGGCATACAGATCAAGACACTATTCCCTCTCTCACTCCCAAGTAAGCACAAGACTATCTTCCCCAAAGCAGTGTGTTCTCTGTAGAAACAAACAGATCACCAGTTTAACACTGATAAGATCAAGAAGGTACCCATTGGGTCCCAGACTTTCTGCACTTGGTGACAAGCCATGGGTGGTGTATGGACCACTCTCCCATACAGGTTAAGACTAGAAGAACGTGTCACTGATTTGCCCACACCCCAAGTTCTCACTTTATCATTCCACTTTTCTATTTTAAAACAATTACAATGTGGGCCACATTTCATTCTCCCCTCCCTAAACAACTTCAGATTCTGTTCCATCACTTCATGGTCATACCCATCATGCTTCACTCCAGAACTAACCTGTCCCTCAGAACCTGTGCAGTGGTGCATGTTCTGAGGTCATGCTGTCACATGAGGCCTTTGAAAACTCAGAATATAACAGCAGGACCCTAGGATTCCATACAACTTGTGGAAAACCAAGTGTGTTGGGCTCCAGGTATCTGGATTGACCAGCCTTGTGGCCTGGTTGTCATATCTCCAGACCTTTTTTTTTTTTTTCATTTGCCTTTATTTTTTACCAGCTACTCCAGTCTCAAAGTTGAAATTTGCAAACACCTTATTCCCAAACACTGTGTGTGCCTTCTTGTGCTGTGTGTCTCTCGTAATCTATTTATGGCACCAAGTGCGTGCATGTGTAAAGGCATGAGGGCATGCTGGAGAGGCATGCCAGATCCTCACAGCCGTTGTCTCATACTTACCAATTAATAAAACTAGTTCCCTACAGAGAGGAATTATTTCATTATGGATGAAGGAATCTGCTGCAGAGGTTGCCCTTGATTCAGTGTTATACTAACAGGATTCTAGGTTAGTGGAAACCCTGTATATCAACCAATTATGCAATAGTTAGACATTGTATTGTTTCTGTGGTATGGATATTGAATGTCCCCCAGGTCTGTAAGTTAGAGGTCCCCAGAATGGTGCTATCGAGAGATTCTGTGGCCCTTTAGGAAGTGAGGCCTTTTGGGAGGTCCTTAGGTCCCTAGGTGTATGATCTCAAATGAGACCATGCTAGTACTTTCCTCTTCCTCTGTAAAAGGAAAGAACGGAAGTAATAGACTCAATGCAGTCTTCAACATATCCCATCAATCCACAGCTCTCCCTTGTCTTCAGGACACTAACCACTTCCTATAACATTCCCTTTCAAACTGATTTATTTATCTGCATCAACACGCAGAGCCTTAGATGAAAGGAGACTGGCAACCCAGATCAATCAGCTAGTGGGTGTTACAGGAAATGGTTAGTGCCCTGAAGACAAAGGAGAGTTTTAGGCACATGGGTTATGGTTATAGTGAAGGACCCTCGAAGAGGTACTTTCGTAGAAGGAGACCCGCACCCAAGAATCGGCGAAACCACGAACTTTGGATGCAAAAGCAAGAGGTTTTATTGATGGCGTGCGTACCCGGGGGCTTAGCTTTTGTTAGGCCAAGCCCCGAGCCAAGGGAGAGGGGTCCTTATATAGCTAAAAGCACAGTGCAGAAGCGAAAAGCGTAGTTACAGGGATTCTATTGGACAATTTAATGAGGTACAGAGTTATTTTAGGTCAGTATATTCTCAAGGTCTGTACCTGGTACAACAGACCCAATTCCTCCCTCCGCGTCCAGATGGCTGACCTTGGGACGGAGGTTCCCCATCGGGCGGGGGCTCGGGGGCGGGGGCCCCGGGCCGGCCCACCTGGTGCTCGCCCTCTGGCCGCCTCGCGGGCTCCTCGCTCGGCCCCAGCCCCGAGGTGCGGTGCCAGGCGGGGCGGGCCGGGGGCGCGAGCCCTGCCGGGTTGAAGGCTTGGGAGGCCCCGGCAGCTTCGGGGCAGGGGGCTCAGGGTCATTTCGAGCGGGTCTTTCACTGTAGGCAGGATTCACATGTACTTCTCCGTCCTTTTTCTGTTTTGTTCTAGCACGCCTGTCCTTGAACCAGATCTAGAGAAACAAACAAAAGAGATCAGGAGAGGTAGGTTCCCTTTTAGGTCCCTAATAATGGGGATGATGGTTATTGTGAAGGTGATGATACTTAGGGTGATGTTTATTTTGATTATGGTGATTACGATGGAGTTGGTTATTGTGATGATGATGATAATGGGGCGATGGTAATTGCATGATGATGATAATGCAGTTGATATTTATTGTGATGATAATGATGATGATGATAATGGGGATGATGGCTATTGTGGTGATGAAGATAATGTTGGTTATGGTTAATGTGATGATTATGTTAATGGGAGTGATGGTTACTGTGATGATATTGTGGTGTTGGTTATTGAGATGATGACAGTGACTGTGGTGATATTATTTGGATGATAATGATAATGGTTGTGATGTTTATTTTTATGATGATAATGTGGGTCAAGGTTATTCTGAAGATGATGACAGTAGGGATGATATTTACTTTGATGATGATGATAATGGTGGTTGTGGTTTTCTGATGAGGATGAGAAAGGGGTGTTTGTAACTGTGATGATGATGATATAGGGGATGATGGTAATTCTGAGTAGGAGGATGATAATGGCTGTGATGTTTATTGTGATTATATTGATAATGGAGGTGATGTTTATTGTGAGCAAGTCCAGGGCTCCCAGTCTATTTAGAACAGCCTGTAGTCAGCAACTGATATTCAGATGTCTGTCAGAAGCAGAAACTTGTTTAAGACATATTTAAACTGGGAACAGAGGTTAAAACTTATTTATTG